CCCGCCTCCGCCCCCTCCGACATCGGCAGTACAATCGCGCCATACACACCACACGCGTATTGCACCACTGTTAAAAGGTTGGTTTTATGGAGAAAAATAAGCGCATTTCGTGACACCATGACATACCTATGACAACACGACCCAATCGAACTAACCGGAGCAGGTGGGAGAGCTTATCGTAGGCCCCGCGAAGGCGAAGGGTCCGTCGGTGAGCCTCTCTGACCTGGTGAAGGTGAAGACCCTTGGCACGGGCACGTTCGGAAGGGTCAAGCTCGTTCAGCACAGGAAGACCAAGCAGGTGGGGGGAAGCGAGCCAGCTCGGCATGTGTGTGCTATGCACGTATCATTCGCGTGTGTAGTGCTCTTAGAGTGCAGTGTGTGCGTGTGTGGATGCATGTTTGCTGGAGTTTTCTCTGCGGTGTGTGGTGTGCGTGTCTGTGACGACGCATATAGATGTGTGTCTGCATGCTTGCATGAGTCTACCGTTGGTTGCAGAAGATACCAGGCACCCCTGGACCGATTTTCAGTGCTCAAATGACTACACTGTGAACACCAAAATCATGTGGTGCGTTTTTTTTAAGGCTTTCAACGGGACGATTCCAACGCCTCCCGCCACTTGTAGCGCCGGAGCTGTTGTCGCCACGTTGAACAGCTCTAGCTGTGAAAGTCGGTCCAGGGGGTATGGCATCTTGCGCAATCTGTACGAGATGGTGGTGTACAGGAGGGGTCCCGATGCATACGCCGTCTGTGAAGTGCTCTCGAATAGCAATGTCACGCTCGTCACTTGGCGCGGGTGTTGGCAAAACCGTGCTTGAGCCCATGTTTTCCACTATAGCGCAAGGCCCCTCAAAAGGCGGGGGTCAACTTGGCTTTGACATTGTTGCTGGAGCGCGGAATATCAGCCACCCCATCATATGTGGTGTCGTGTGGTATCGTGCCCATAGGATCTATCAATGCGTCGTGGTCCGTGCAGTTTGCGGCAGCAGCGGCAGCGCATTTAGACGCGGTTAGGTGTGGGTGCCCCGAGCCCTAAGCTGTGCTGTGTGGCCTTGGTCGAGTCAGGTGTCAAGAGTCAAGAGCCAAGAGGTCGGTGTCGCTCGGTGTTCCAAGCGGCGATCAGGTCACATGAGAAATATCAAGTATTAGACAATGCTTACACAGCAGTACCTGCGATTGTATGTAGCCTGTGGGCATACCTGGTGTTGTCTTTCGCCAAAAGCATACTGCTGTGTTGCATTTTTTTGTTCTCTTATTCGTTCGGGGGCAATGGCAAGTATTACGATGGAAGTCCACGGGGCAAATTTGCCATGGGGTTCATGGTGTCAAAAAAAGAAATGCGTACCCGCATATTGCACAAGCATGAGATGTTAACCATCGGGCGCGATAACCAACCAGAGATTCATCTTTGTCGTACGTATGCATACATACTGGAAAATCAAACACTCAACCAGGACACGGGGCGTAGTATTTTCGGTGCTTGTATGCGTACTGCTGTATGTACTGCACCATATTTTCTTACATCGTTTCAAAAAAAACGATCAGGTGTTCGCCATGAAGTGCATGCAGAAGGCGCACATCGCCAAGTCTCACCAGTCCCGCAACATCATGAACGAGAAGAACATCCTGATGGCCTGCGACCACGCCTTCATCCTGGACCTCCTGTGCACGTACAACACCGCCAACGAGCTCCTCATGCTCACGGAGCTGCTGCTTGGTGGCGAGCTTTGGTGAGTGCCGCAACTATTACAGGTAGTTTTACGTACGTATGTGTTGGTTGATCGGGAGGTGTACTCATTGCCGTGCATGCCGCAGTTCGTTGGACCGTTTGACCTCGCTTCCTCACAAAGCCGGGACGGAGGAGCACGCCGGGTTCTCACCGGACCGATCAAGCAGGGGGGGCGGGTGGGGGGGGGGGGTACTCATCGTCGTGCATGCCGTAGTCGTTAGACCATTGACCTCGCATCCCTACAAAGCCGGGACGGAGCACGCCGGGTTCTCACCGGACCAGGCTTTCACATCACCAAGCGCGAAGCGCCGTGAGGTATTCGGCGAGTCGCATGAAGGGTGCGCTGCATCCTCCTACGGGTGTTCGGCATCTTGTGCTTACTTCCTTGCATATGGATGACAGCCGCGTATGACTNCGGAGTGAGGGTTCTCGACTCCGCACAACATGATCCACTCGACCACCATAATGGTTACCGCCAAAAAAAAAACAGAGGCAAGAAAAAACAAACGATAACCTGGTTGCCGAGTTCACGAAGTGAATTGGCTTGTTTTACAACGTCGTTGCCAGGCGACGAAAACCTAACCCCGATGGCAAACACCGGGGGGTAGGTGCGGAGGAAAATGTTGGCAGCTTGGTGTAGGTTTTTGTGTCGCGCCGGCATCCCGCCTATCCTTGCCTACCGCTGTAACTCGGGGTGTGGGTCCTTGCTGGAGTTTAGGGTATGCTTGCTGCCACCTCCCCCTCAATGGACAAAGAAGTGGATGGTAGGAGCTGGAAGCAACTGGGATACGTCAGTTGATTGGGGCCGTCTATATGATTGTGCCGATACATTTCGCCACCCCTATGCATATATGTTTCCGGCGCAGTATGCGGGCAGCCCGGTCGACGGAGGAACGACGTATGTTACATGCACACACGTATCCCCTCGTGATTCAATTTAACCAAAGCAGTTCAAACAACTACAAGTAAACAGTACTCAATCAAGTTTACACTCAATCAACACGCACGTACCCGCCCGTGTGCCTTCAATCAAAACGAAAAAACGAGCAGGTCGTATATCTACGAGAGGCACACCCCCATCACCAAGACCGGCCTGGGGGGTTTCTCTTTGAGCGTGGCGTCCTTCTTCTGCGGGTGCGTGGTCCTGCCCCTGCAGTATCTTCACCAGATGTCGGTGGCTTACCGCGACCTCAAGCCGGAGAACCTCTTGCTCGGCCAAGACGGTTACCTTAAGGTACGCAGAGGACTAAATGATACCGTCACTTGCGAGTGTCTGTCTGGGTGTTTGTCTTTCTGTCTTTCTTTCTATCTGTTGGCCTACAGAGGGCTTCCTTCAACTGCTGTACAGGCACCCGTTTTTTGCACACCTTGGTATGACGTTAAGGTACGCATGGATGACACCGTCACTTGTGAGTGTCTGTCTGTCTGTTGGTCTAGAGAGCGCCCCTTCCCTTCAACTGCTGTACAGGCACTCGTTTTTTGCACACCTTGATATGACGTCAATTGTATGCATACTTGTCTGTGTTTGTTGCTCCCTCTCTTCAACTGCTCGTTGGTCTATAGACACCCCGTTTGAACCTTGATCATAGTGTATTTGTATGCAGTAGCTCCCTCTCTTGATCATAGTGTATCTGAGCCTGTCCGCCTTTTTTTTCTTGCGCCTGATTGTTCGTGTGTCCAAGACCAGTCGCTACTTGTAGCTGTCGTCTACGCACATCCGTACATGTACATGCTCCCCGACGGGCATGACGCGGCCGTCGCATGTCGGCAGAGGAGCGCTACAGCTGTAGGCCGGCCGAGCACAAGTGCCTCCTCGCTCGCGTGTGGCGGCTTAGCCCGCACTCTCGCTTGCAAGAGGCGCGTTGCTTGAGTGTGGTGCGGCACCAAAGGCGTCACATCTTCTTGGCTCCCGTCACGCGAACAACAAGAGCAACACCGGGAGGGAGGGAAAAGAGTATAGTACTTACTCACCCCTCTCCCACCCCACCCCACCCCCCATTCCACCCAGGCAACCACTGTTGGATACCAACGAAAGATTCCACGCACCAAACCAACCAACCAACCAACCAACCACAGGTGATCGACTTCGGGTTCGCCAAGCGCATCCCCTTCAAGAAGGACAACACGGTGCAGACCAAGTCCTTCACGCTGTGCGGGACGCCCGACTACCTCGCCCCCGAGCTGGTGCTGTCCCGCGGCCACGACAAGGCCGTCGACTACTGGGCCCTCGGCTGCTTCCTGTACGAGCTCCTGTGCGGCAGGACCCCCTTCACGGACCCAAGGCAGGCGGAGATCTTCAAGAAGGCCATCCGCAGCGAGCGGTTCTTGGCGTTCCCTGCTGGGTGAGAGCAATGCGTCTTTTGTTTCTTGTTTTTGGATACCGGTGGCCTGACAGAGGAGGCTTGAGACAGACAAAGGAGAGACAAAGAGAGAGAGAAAGACAGAGAGAGAGACAGAGAGACAGAGAGGCAGAGAGGCAGAGACAAAGACAGAGACAGAGACGGAGACAGACAGACAGACAGACAGACAGAGAAGAGAGAGATGGGTGGTGGTATGCACATGTGCTGCGTTGCATGGTGTAGAGAAACTCGCCCATGGTGAAGGAGATGTGGGAATGGCATGACGTTGCACTCTCTCCCCACCTTATCTCTCTCTTACCTCCTCCCTTTCATACCTCCCCCCCCCGCCCTCGTGCCCTCTCTTCCGCCTCCTCCCTATCCTCCCTCTCTCCTCCATGCCCGGCCTGGAAAAAAACGCGCGACGATAGCTTTCCCGCAACGGCCCAGGACCTCATCAGACGTCTACTCACCCCAAACGCCACCTACCGCCTGGGAAACCTCAGCGGGGGCATCCAGGACATTATGTCGCACCCCATGTTCAACGAGGTCGGCTTCGACTGGCGAGAGCTCTACGCCAAGCGCATGGCCCCGCCGCACAAGCCAAAGGTGCGAGGAAGGCCACCAGGATGGGCGCCAAAAGAAGGCCGCCATTGTTTTATTTTCTTGTGTGCATGTCTTGCTTCTGACGAGAGGGGATTAGCGAGGAACGAAGGCAGGGACGGAGGGAGGATTATGTGTGTGTTGCTGACACAGGGCTGTGACGCGATGTGATGATGGCGTCGCATTGCGATGTGATGTGATGTGATGTGATTTCAAACGACTTGTATGTGTTGTTCGACGTGGCGCAGTGAGCGCTCTTGTGGCGGCGGGTTTTGTACGATGCGTCGTTTCGTGGTTGCTGTCCTGCGACATGCGTGTTCAGCAGTACTTCGCACCTGATGTCAGTCGCTCGCTCTCTTTTGGTGCTTCTCCCAAATTAGACAGTAGAAGTACCAAATAGTAGTTTTGTGTGGTTTGACTCACTGCATAGTGGCGGGCCTTGGGATTGTTTCCGTGCCGATGTTTTTTTCCCTTCAGTATATGCACATGTTTTCTTGTCGAAAAGAACCCGGCCTCGAGCACCCTTACGGTCAAGGCGCGCCACCAGCGCTTCCTTTGCCCGGTGCTTGAGCCCTGTTTCCGGCGGCTGTCCCTAACCCTTCGCAAGTTCCGCCGTTTCCCTGACGTGAGTCATGTATCGCACACACATGCATATTCCCTCTGCTTTTTTTTTTGTGTGCGAAAGGCCATAATTGACAGGACCCCCGAGCTTGTGCATCGAGTATTTTTACTCCGAGATCGACGTGTGTTCATCTTTTTGCCCTGCGGGATGTTCGTCGTCCCTTCGCCCCCCTACCTCACAACATGCGCATGCTCAACCGATTAACCTCAATCCTTGCTGCGACTTTTTATTTCGTGATTCGGTGTGTTTGTGGGGCGGGGCAGGTCCGAACTGCTTTGGACACATCCAACTTCGAGGCGGTGAGCGAGGAGGACAAGGTCTTGGCCTACACCGGGCCCCAAAAGCTCTTCGAAGGTTTCTAATGTAGCTCTCGTCTATGTTTGGTGTTCTTTTATCCAACTAGCAGAACGTTTTTTTACTACTTTCTGAAGACTTTTCTGGCTGGCGGCAGCAACGAGAGAAGCCTCCCGCGGCACGACGTGGCTTCCGTCTATCTCCCCTTGGTGGATGGCCTCAATCGGTGATGCGGGCGAGACGATAGGATTAAATCCCCCATGCGTTCGCCCTTCCTGTCTTGGCCTTCTGTCGGCCAACGACGCTGATTGCCTCTTGCTGTGGGAGAGGTATTTTCTCCATGCGGTTGTGTTCCCTCGGCACCGGCAGCAGCTACCGTCGTCGTTTTGGTGCTCGCACGCTAGTAACCCCTCATCCCTACCCTTGCGGCTGAGGCTAGGGAGGGTGTTAAGTCATGCTTGCGTTAGTTAAGTGTGAGTTGCTGTGCGCGTGTTTGTTTTTGTGTGGATCTGAGCGTTGCTGCCTCAGTTCCTCCGCTTCTGTCGACATGTCAATCTAGCGTCCGTAGGTCTAACTATGGCCACCCGAGCGATTGGTTCGTGTATAGTGGCCTCGCGGATAGTTATTCCGATTATTATACACTACAGTACTTAGTTCGTGGGCATGTCTATTACCCGCACACGGCCGGCTGTTCTAGCTCGCTGTGGGCCTGAACTGAAGAAGAAAGCCTCGCCTCACTTCACGGAGCACGGTCGCTCTTTCGGTCTGTGTGGGGTCTAGAGCAGCAGTTAGGGAAGGGGGGGGATCGCAAGATCTAGCCGCCGCCGGCGACCGCGGGAGGCACAAGACGTTCGCCTGTCTGTAGTCTGTTCATGGTAGTGCAAGGAGGGTAAGGTAGCGATGGTTTGTTGCGAAGCGGCACGACAAAGTATAAACGTATCACCACAAATGGGCGTCAGACTCTGGGTGGGGCTGGCTCCACCCTGCCGCCGCGATGGTGGTCGATTGTTTTGTTGTTGGCGTTGCCGTCAGAGTTGGAGCGGCCGTTGGTTTCCCATGAAGCTGGGTATTGGGTGTCGCAGGTTGGTCTTGATCAAACTGGTTCACCAAGCCGGCTTTCCGGCTGTTGAATCGAACAGCTTCTCGATACACTCCGTCGCTTACCCGATTCTCGCTCAGGGGTAGAATAGTCGCGGAGTGGATGCGGTTCAGGGCTAGCCCCTCCGCACGCTTAATGTTGCCCCCGTTGCCCAAGGTGGAGTAGCCCATTTAGCGCGATTTTTTGTTGCCTGTTGGTGCTGGGACGTTGGTACGTTGATTTCGTGGGGGTTGTGGTGGCCCGCCCCCTGTCCCCTCGCACGCGATGTGAAGGGAATGTTGTGCTTGTGCGTTTTTTTTTTATCCATGGTCGAGCTGCGGAGAGAGAAGGTGCGCTGGCGTGAGATAAAGTCGATTTATTGCTGTAGGATTGATGCCCAGGTGAGAGAAAATGAGACTAGGGTAGGCTAGGCTGGTTTATATCGTGTTGAANGGGGGGGGGGGGGGGGGGGGGGGGGGGGGGGGGGGGGGGGGGGGGTTGTTAAGGGAGGGCGTGGCGTTGTGGTTTGCGCCGTTCCCCGCGCTGCTTGCCTGTGGAGAGCGGCGGAATCGCTGGTCAGGATGTCCTTGAACAGGCTTTTTGCTCGCAATCTGGCTCCGCGTTGTGGCAAGATAGGGGGGACGGAGAGACGCGACGCACGAACCCATGGAAGTTTGGTTAGTTGGAGTGGCGGGGATAGGTGATGCGCTCTACGCTGTTGCGCAGGAATGAAGTTTTCACTTGTCATGCCTCTTGCAGAGGACGCGCAAGCAAAGGCGGGGACGTGTTCTTCCCTTTGCCATTGGTGAGCTGGTAACATGTTTTGTAGAGAGCCGAGGGAGCCGGTACAATAGTGGGGGCAATAATGGCGGGGCTCCGCCGAAACTTTTGGGAAGCAGAAGAAGTACAGTAGAGGTTCCTGTTGAGTGCCGGTTGAATAGTGCCGGTTGCCGTTACGGTGCCGGTGATTTCGGCTCGCACACACTGGAATACCAAGTCGTTCTGTACTTCGAATAGTGCCGGTGTCCGGTTTAGTGCCGGTGAATTTTCGGCGCACACCCCGGCACTAAATAGGGATCTCTACTGTAGCGAAATGGTAACAGGTTTTGAGTCTTGCTTGGCGGTGTCCCCCCGCATGCGTACGGAGTTAAGAGGTAACGTGTATGTTGGTCTTGCACTCCCTTGATGGTTTGCATGTGTGCATCCCTTGGCGATTGAACTTGTGTGCACGTTTCATTGCATCAGTCACGGCAGGCTGGGTTGGCCCTGCCGTCCGTGCTAGAACGCCTTGCGACAAGCTTGATGCGTACGCACGACGCGTTGGTTGCCGCTCTCGGAAGTGGAAGCTTCCTTCCATCGTTTTCGTGCAATCCTTCCCCATGCCACAAGGTATTTGTTGTCCTTTCCGTTGGGGGGTGTATCTTGGTCTTGGTACCGTAGTAAGTAGTTTGTGTGGTGATGTCATACCACCAATACGAGGGACAAGAGGGGGAGAGGGGAACGGGGGGACGGAAAAGGTTGAAGTGGCATGGGTTTGTCTTTGTTGGATATTTCGAGGCGTGACCACGCCTCATCGTGGGAGATTTCGGAGACGTAAATTTATTCTACAAAAAAATGTTCTGCAAACTCCTTCACGAAAGTAGGTATTGTACCTCCTCCTGGTATTAGTTTTTCTCACATATCCCTGACTGAAGCGTTCCAAAAAATGGGGAAAATTGAACAATACCAGATAAGAGGTGCTTGTGGTGTAGCACGGCTCTGATAGATAGGGTAGGGTAGATTGCAGTTGAAGCGTTCGTTGTTGTACCGCTTCTCGCCGATGGGCACACAGGGAAGCGGCCACCACCAGCAATTTGTACCCTGGTGCTCGTCTACCATTCTACTAACATGAATGTGACGTCGACTCCGGAGCAGCAGCATTTTGGCGGCACTCTTTCCCTCTCTCCCATCATCGCTTGCATACTGATAGCCGTACGCGTACGTACGTACGGATCGTGCATGCAGCAGATTGTGCAGCAGCCGGAGACGCGCGGGGTGTTGATCCGTTTAGTTGTGGCCGCAGCCTGCTCACTAAATGGTTATTTTTGTTGTCTTTGCTCCCTCTACGAAATTTTGACGTGCAAGGGAATACTCCGAGATTCCACGCACGTTTGATCCTTCGGAATCAAGATGTGGCCAACTCATTCTGTACGCCAAGTCGTGGGTCACCTGCGGCACCTTGGTCTTCGGAGCAGCAAGTAGCAACAACAGCGAATACGAGAAGACGGCGTATCCAGAGCCAACCCCCACACGTGCTAGACTTCAGCCCCCATGTCCAGATTTCCCTCCCGTGCTGGTGGCGAAGACCCAGACTTGCAGGCAATGGCCCAGCATGCAACAGGCGAGGGGTGAACTGGCGGTAAAGGCCATGTGTATTAGCGCTACTTCCTTCTCTTCTGTACAGCAGTAGTGCTTGCCCATTTGACGATAAAGAGTAGCGGCGGGTATTAAGAACCACTTTTTTTCAAATCGGGGTACCTCTCACTACATTCACGGAGCCCCTTGAGGTCGGATTCAAAAAAATGCGGAGAGCCAAGAGCTTTCGTTTGAGCACCTCAGCGTGGCAATTAGACCATTCACCCCCGAGATACAGCAGCAGCAGCAGCGCAGGGGCCGATGCGGCGGATCTTCGGCCTTCTGCTGATTTTGCTGATAAGCATGGGCCGCCGCAGGGTGGACGCACAGCAAGCCCAGAAGGCTTGTGAAGCCGTGAGAGGTGGCATGTCCGTTAGGAAGGCTGCTAAGGTCTATGATATTGATCGGCTTTCGCTCAAACGGCGCCTCGATGGAGAGGTGGCCATGGATGCAAAAGTAGGTCCTGGGACTGTCATGAGTGAGGAGGAGGAAAATTCGATTGAAGATTGTCTGCTGTACGCTGGTCGTAACTGCCTAGCTGTGAGTCGGCTCCACCTGCTGGAAACCGTAAGACTGCTCTGCCTGGACCGCAAGACCCCGTGGGATCCAGAGAAGGGCCCGGGGAAGGATTGGCTAGCTGGCTTCCTCGAAAGGCACCCGCGGGTTAGGGAGCGCACCACTCGCATCTACGAGGCCAACAGAGTCACCGATGAGAGCGAACCTCGCATCGTAGAGTTCTACAGGAAGTGGGCAGCTCTCCTCGAGGACCTCAAGCCGGAGGCCGACCACGTGCACAACACGGATGAGACAGGTGAGATGTACCTGTAGACTAGTCTAGACTAGTGTGGTATCAACAGGAGCTGTATTAGGCGAGCTCCTGTGCAAAGATCTCGAAGGTAGCATGTCAATATCTGGCGGAGTTCTGCCGTCGGCCGGACTTGCGTGCGGCGTTTTGGTGTGTACACAGCAGTATCTACTCTAGGACCCGGTCTTCATTGCATGGTTTTTGTGCGTGGGTAAACCTTCGCATCTTGTATGTGCCTTTACGTTTCTCTCCCCCTGTTCTCCTCCTCTCTCGCGATTGATTTAGGTACCACTCCGCAAGGCAACAAGACCATGAAGGCCTACTGTCAGGCAGGGCAGAAGGTGGTCGAGTCGGTTCGGGCCAACTCGCGAGAGAACACCACCTTGGTCACCACCATCAGCGCTGATGGCTCCACGTGGGCGCCGACTATCATCTTCAAAGGGCAGCGACTCCAGCCTGACTGGTTTGCGGAGAAGAACGGGCCGCCGGACGCGAGGTACACTTGTACGGATTCTTCGTTCATGCAGGGTAACGTGTTCATCAAGTACCTTAAAGACTTCCACCAGCAGCTTTGCAAACGAGGCTTGATCGACGGAAAGCCGCACATCCTCCTGCTTGATGGACACGCATCGCACGTGAGCGTCGAGGTCATCCAACTGGCCATGGAACTCAACATCGTCCTCTTTCAGCTGCCGTCCCACACGTCGCACATCACCCAGCCCTTGGACGTCGTCGCCTTCGGAGCCTTCAAGAGGGAGGTGACTAAGGTGCTGTCAGACTACTACCGCGTGTCCGGCGGGTTGCTTCCACAGAAGCGTGACGTCCCCGGCGTTATCGCGGCGGCTTGGGGGGCGACTTTCACATCGGAGCGAAATAGATCATCCTTCGCCGGGGCGGGCCTGTGGCCTGTGAACATGGAGCGAGCGATGAGCCGGCTTCGGGGCACAGCAAAGAGGAACGAGAACCAGACCGGGCGCCCTCCCCTAAAAGACGTCCCCATCGCTGTAGGCAACGAGCAGCTCGAGCAGGACATCGGAGAGAGGGGCATGAGGCAGCTGAAGGCGGCTGGACATCTAACCACGGGACTCAGGGTGAGCACGGTGATGCTCGGCAGCGTCATCCGTCAGAGGAAGCGCGCCAAGAAAATGGCGACCTCGCGGGGCTCTTTGGGCCTTCCCGACGGCGGCAACATCACCGCGGAAGACTTCCTGGCAAAGGTTGCCGAGAAGGAGCGCGCAGACAAGGAGGAGAGTGACGCAAAAGCGGAGAGGGCCAGGGAGCGCGAAAGGAAGAGGGCAGAGAGGGCGGCGGCGGAGCTGGCACGGCAGGCGAACACGGGCGGTCGAGGACGCGGGCGAGGGCGGCAGGGAGGAGGGAGGGGGGGCGAGCGGGGCGGGGGAACGGGGGCGGGGACGGGAGGGCGCAATGTCAATGCCGGGCAGGGAGCAGGGCGAGGGGGGCGAGGAGAGCCAGCGGGGCGAGGGGGGCGAGGGGGGCGCGGCGGGCGAGGGGAGCCAGAGGGGCGAGGGGGGCGAGGGGGGCGCGGGAGAGGGGGGGGGCGTGAGGCGAGCGGACAAGGGAGGGGCCGCGGGGCCGCGGCGGGGGGACGCGGCCGAGGAGGGGGTGGAAGAGGGGCCTCACCTGGCCGGGGACGAGGAGTGGCTGGAGCAGAAGAAACGGCTTTGCCCGAACGCCAACCGGCACCCTCCGTGTCCCGGGTTGGACGACAACGGACGCCGACACCCATTGTTGACGTGTAGCCGCATCATGCTCCAAACTTCTGCAATTTTTACGTGGAGTCGATGCGTACCCTATTGCACAATGTTTGTTGCCGGTAAGGTAGTCAACGGTGGCTTCGAGCGTGCCAGTACCGTGGGGGGAGGGGGTGGCGGATTTTTCCCGAAACCCGGGGATGTCGGGTTTCCGTCCCCCGGTGTTGTCCCCGGGTGTCTTCCATTTTTTTTTTCGTTGCGCATGAGTGTTTCTCAATCATATTTGGACGTTCCCTCCAAAAGGCTGGTCGTGGAAATAAAACGTTGGCTTGATTTGTCGTTATGATCGGCGTGAATTCTTGCCCTACCGGTAAGCCGATTCGGCAAAATGTACCCGTATTAACCGTAGAGAACGTCGTGAGTTGTACTCCAAATGACGTCAAATTTCACGCGGATTCGGCTTGCACGCCATAAAATGTGATATGTTGTTCGTAGACTTGCTACGGTGACAAGAGAGCGTGCCAGTACGGTTGGGGGGGACGGGGGGGGGGTCGGCGGCTGGTTTTGCCCGAAACCCGGGGATATCGTCATTCCGTCCCCGGGTGGCCTCCAAACTTATTTATTTTTTTCGATTAATGCTTCTAACTCCTATTTGGGTGTTCCCCCAAAATTTCATGTCCTGGGGGTGTATGAAAAGCCCAGAACAGGCGATACAGCAGTAGTCGGTGCACGGCGCTGATTCGTATCATGGCGGCAAGCAAAACAACGAAAATATACCAATTTTTGAACAAGCATTATTTTTTGACCACAACTCCTTTCGGCATAATTTTTTTTTTCGAGGTCAGAAAATGACAGGATGAAGCCAACTATGCTTCAAAACTGTTGTTTGGATTCGTTTTTGACGGATTATCACGCCGTACAGGCAAACGGCGGCGGAAAACGGTCCCAAGCATCTGCGCCGAAAACCCGGGGATATCTCGTATTCATCCCCGGGAGCCTTTAAAAAAAAAAAAACGTCGTTTTTCTTTGTGTTCATCGTATTGGACGATTGTGTGCAAAATCTTGGCTCTTGAAACGCATTTTAACCCGCGCAATCAGCACCTCGTAAAAGTGGTTCTTAATACCCTCCAACCGGATTCTGTGGTACTTCCAACTTCAACTTAGGCAAAATAGCTACAGCCTTAACTCGTTACCAATAACGTTTTTTTTTTTTTTTCTTTGACAGGTAGTTGATCATGTTAGCTATCCTTCGGTACCTAGACATCATCCTATCTCGTTAAACTGACCAAGAACGAGCTCTTGGCGCGGGGGGTGGCTTAAGTGGTTCTTAATACCCGCCGCTACTCAATATGTTTACGGGAATATTCTCGGTATGGTTCTGGTCCTGTTATGGTTCTCTTTGTGCACACACACAACACCACAACACGCCGCGAAGCGAGGGTCCCGACGACGACAGCAGTAGTATCAGGTCGTACGTATGCATACGAAGCGCAGCACCGCCCCGCCTCGCAAGACTTGAGCGACGATGCAGAGGGCGGCCGACCACGAAGAGGCAGGAGCTCTACTGGAGCAAGCCGAGGAACATCTCCGAAACGATGCAAGCCTAACGAGTTCGTTCGTGGTGTCTCAGTGATGCAGCTCTCCACCCACCTCTAGATACACCTCATGCGGGTGATCTCGCATGTTCTGCAACAGCAGCTTGGATGTATAGAATCTAAAGGGGTTTGCTCGCTGCCTAAGCAATATGTGCGTTGAAGGCTTCGCACATGTCGACAATAGCAGCTCTTCTCTACTACTTTTCGCCCTTGTGCTGCCTGTGCTTGAGCTCTTAACCAACAACATCTGCTACAAACGTACAGCTGATACCATATGCATACAAGACACCATACGCATACACAGCACCTTGTTGATCAATGAGCACACCCGTCGCGGGTGGATTACTTAGGTGAGATCGTAGGATGAACGTTTTTTATACGAAATATTGCGTCACTTCCGCCGTACATGGGATTTATGTGGTGTTGAATATTCAAGTTTCGTTCGTGGGGCTCGAGGGGTGAGGTGTTTGCCACGCGCCTACGTTTTCTACATTTTCCCCTGTCGTTGGCCCGTCCCTCGAGGCCTTGGAGCACGTGTTTAGCACTCGTGAAGAAATGTGTGGCATGTTCGTGCATGACGTATCCTTACATGTTGCATGCTGTTCCCGTGTTTCCTATCGTCACCACCAAGGTACAACCATGCCTGGTGATCACGGATATACCATGCGTGCTTGCACCGATCGCGGACAAGAATCATCCTGATCTGCTGGATGAAGGGGGTGCCCTGCCACGTAGNACATTTTCCCCTGTCGTTGGCCCGTCCCTCGAGGCCTTGGAGCACGTGTTTAGCACTCGTGAAGAAATGTGTGGCATGTTCGTGCATGACGTATCCTTACATGTTGCATGCTGTTCCCGTGTTTCCTATCGTCACCACCAAGGTACAACCATGCCTGGTGATCACGGATATACCATGCGTGCTTGCACCGATCGCGGACAAGAATCATCCTGATCTGCTGGATGAAGGGGGTGCCCTGCCACGTAGCGCCGAAGGTCAAGTTTCCCTGAAAGGACTGCAGCACATCGGAGCCCGTGCACGCGACTTTCCGGATCTGCACTCTGTGAAGGTGCCGCCGGGGGGATTCCCATCTGCGACCGCATCGTCTGCATTGGGGGCCCAACCCGTTCACAACGTGTACGCGGTCTATGCCGCCGCGGAGCCTCCACCCGGCGTTCAAGCGCAGCTCGACTTCCGCACTCTACTTGGGCACCATTCTGATATGGTTGAGAAGGATCGTCAACTTCGAGCTGCACCTGACGCTGAGGGCGATGTGACAGGGGCAAGCGACTGGTCGTCTTCCCCCAAGCGCATCAGCGAGCTTGCGGAGAACACTCTCGCCTCTCTACACAATCAAGGATGGTACGCTATCGACCTCTTCGAGGTTGTACTCGTGTTCTCGCTATGGTTTCAGGCAGCTGGGCGAGAGGCAGCTGGGCGAGAGGCAGCTGGGCGAGAG